TGGGGTGGGAATACTGTGAAAGAGGAGATGGATAACACAGCACAGGGCTGGGAATAATCCCAAATAATCCTGTTTTCATAACTTCCTTTCTCTCTCATCCCCCAGTGGCACGGCCGGGCGGCGAGCTTCGACAGCCAGGGCTCCTGTCCCTCTCCCAAACCACCCCCCACGCCGTGATCCAGAGCTGGGCAAGGAAAATGGGACTAAACCAAGTAATTTTTGCACTTGGCCTTCAGTCTCAGTGGTTGCTGAGGGGCGGTGGCGGCAGCGGGACTTTCCGGTCTAGTTGTTCCTGCGTAAGTAAAGGTAGAAACCCGTTTCGTGGTCAAATCCGTTTTTGTCTAATATGTCTCCCAAGGTGATGTAATTTTCGTGGCTTTTGCTGTACGGGTCTGTTTCCGGAGGGAGAAGGTGGACTGAGGTGTGTGTCGGGAGTTTGGTCTGTAAAATAACCTGTAAAAAATAGATTTTAATGTGTGTGAACGCTGGAAAAGGGCGAGGATGTGACTGCAGAGGGCAGAGGTGGCCGGGACAGGGGACAGCAGTGGCAGAAAGTGGGAGAAGACTCCTCCAACCCATCCTCGAGGCCAACCCCAGCCCTGCAGAGCATCTCCTGTTCACGTAGAGGTGTCCATGAGCTCTTAGAAGTTTGTGCAGTGTGTACCCCACAATTCCTTCTGTCATATATAAAAATGCTGTTGATTCCTCAGGAGGGAAACCCTCGGGTTCTTTTTTTTTYCCCTGTATCTGAAGTCTCCCCAGAGCTATTTGCATGAACAGTTCCTTCAGCCCCCTTTGTAGCTGCTGCTCGTCCCCCCAGTGCATCCCCACCTGATTGGGAGAGGAGGGAACGGCGTTGCCAMGGGTGGGATTTGGGACAAAAAARGGGGAAAATGGTACAGAAATGGGTGACACCCCTGCACAGCCACTGGATCTCTGTTTGTCCTATAATCTGAATAATAAAAGGTGACCCAAGGGGGAAAAGACACACAGAAACATGACTGATATAYAAAAAAAGCTCCCAAACTTTTTCCCCAAACTTCTACTCATAAAGGAAGTGTCAGCACTTCCTCAAAGAACAAAGTTTCTCAGCCCAAGCCCTGAAGGAATGTCAAGTTCTGGGGGGAAAAAAAAAACGAAGTTTTGTTGGTTCCTTGGCTGCAGAGGCCAAAAATGAAGTTAGAATGTCCCAAGTACTGGCTTTACAGCTAAATCAGCTGATCTTTATCAGCCAGCTGTGGATTTTGGCCACTTCCTCATCCTGGATTTTSCTCTGAGTTAAGAAATACATTAGTGCTGTTTATTCCACCCTAATTAAACCGAGTGAAAGCAAATATTTCGGTTTTGAGGCCGAATTTGCCAGCGAGGCAGCCGCTTCCCCTCCCCTCAGGTTGGCAGGACCGTGTCCATCAGCCCCAAACCCTCAGGTCCAACTTCAGTTTCCATTTTCCTAAATGTCACCGCRTCCCCCCCGGGCGCACATCGCAGCTGGGGAGGGTTGTTTGCGCTGCTCCTGGGTGAGAAAAATCCTTTTTGTTCAGTGAAGGGTGAACACATCATTCCTCATCACACCTCGTGTCTTAATTCTCTTTATGTGCCACGCGCTAGAGGAGCAGAAATCTCAATAAAATTATTTTGTTTGTAAGCGCTGCCCCGCCTGGCGGAACGTTTCCTCTCGCGTTTTGTGGTTTTGGATGGGGGCAGCGATCACGGCGGGGGCCATAAAACGTGATAATGACAGAGCCTGGCACGGTGTGGGGCTGGGAAAGGGCCAGGGGTGWTGTTTGGAGCAGAGATCAGCCAGGCTGGGATGGTCACACCATCCCTGGGGAGCAGCTGGGCACCAGCTGCAGCACGAAAAAGCAAATTTCCAGCACGCTGCAACAAAAAAAAGTGTTGAAAGCGCATAAATTTCCCAGCACAGAGCGTTCTGTGGSTTTCTGCTGAGGACAACCTTTCTGAGAGCATCATCCTTGGCGGGAACGGCTCGTGTTTAATTACGGAAAAAGGTTTCTGACCATTAAAACTGACAGATTGGGTGGGTCAAAGTGGCCACGAGTCCCCGGACCTTTCCCTGAGCTGGAGGAGTCTCAGARGAGCAGGGCTGGGAGCTGGCAATGCCCCTGGCAGGCTGGCAAAGCAAAGGGCAGCACGTCCCCAGGAAAAGCCACAGCCATCCCAGCTACTCGACAATCATTAATTGTCCCAACCCACTCCAACCCTTTTCTTCTCTAATCCCGGCTTTTTGGGGTTTTGGCGTTCTCCGTATAATCTCCGTCTTTTATCCGTCCTCCTTGTTATCGAGGATTTAGTCAAAACATACGTGGGGTTTGACACAAAGCTGCTATTTTTAATCCTCGCCTCACACAGATAATCAATTTCCACTCAATACTGGCTGTCACTCGCCTCGCTGGCAAAACGGGATCTCACGGTGGTGAAGAACGCCCACGCCTGGGTGGCTCAGCCCACCCCACATTTATCCTTTAAACGCCGGGATTTGGGCACATCCCTCAGCCAGGGGATAATCAGCCCATTGTGTGTTTGTCACAGCCACTCGGGGGGGATCGGTCACGCTCCTGGGGATGAGCTCCATGCACCAGGGTGAGCAGTTCCCTCTCATCCAGCGAGGGGTTGGAGCTCTGGAGAGGAGCTGAGCCCGGCGCAAGCGCCATCCCAAGATGAGTTGAGTTGTTTTCGTGCTCCTCTCTTGCTCTTCTCACCCCTGTGATGGCAGCTCGTGGAGAAATTTCAATTATTTCCCAGCAAAGTAAGGAGGGCGAGCCCAAGGCCACGTCCCATGGGAGGGTTGGCCATGGTGGGGTTACTCTGCGAAGRGGAGGACGCTGCTGCGAGCAGCCACAAATGAACAGCCTGTTTTATTGAGCTCTGCAAGCCAAATAAACACATGGAGTGTTCCCAGACCTTCCTTTTATTTGTTTTCCTCCATTCTCTTCAGTTTCAGCCTCACAGCCTCCAGTTTCAGCCAAGATTGGCTGCAGGGAGGGGCAGAGGCACTGTAGGGCTGTGTGGGGACTGTTGGTTCCATGGGGGATGCAGGGAAAAGGGAAATTCCAGGAGTCCAAGGGACCAAAGAGCTGGGAACTGCCCCAGCCTTGTGCCCTCCCACCAACCTGAGAATAAAATTGGTTGTATTTGAGAAAAAAGTGGGAAACATCCAGTGGGAAGTGAATTTCAGATGTGGAATACCGGAATGGTTTGGGACATTAAATCCCATCTCATTCCAACCCTGCTATGGCAGAGACACTTTCCACTGTCCCAGGGTGCTCCAAGCCCTGTCCAGCCTGGCCTTGGGCAATTCCAGGGATCCAGGAACACCCCCAGTTTCTCTGGGCACCCCGTGCCAGGGCCTCCCCACCCTCACAGGGAGGAATTCCTTCCCAATATCCAGCCAGGGTGAAATTCTCCAGCGTTGGCTTCCCACTGCTCACATTATTGTGTGATGGGGTTTTTTTTCATACATCAGCAGCACATTTGTTTGGCAAGGAGAAGGATCTTGTCATAACAATTTATATTTAGTCTCCAAATGTGGCCTTTAATTGCTAATTACAGAATGCTGCTGCAGGTTGGCAAATCACACACACCAAAAAAAAAAAAAATACCAGTGAGGAAGAAAACAACTGGGGGTTTCTAAGGGTTTAAGATATCAAAAAATCACACTCTTTAATTATCTTAGGGAAAAAAATAGCAGCTAAGGCATAAATTTAACCTCAATACCGATGTTGATGGGATGTATGTGTCACAGCTGCCATCACAAGGCTGGCTCTGTGTCCCCATGGCTGGGAATCACTCATTCTTGGGAAGATTTGGGATCAAGAGTGGCAATAACCCTACCTAGATGTCAGGAGCTGGAGGGAGGGACTGACAGATGGGGGGTCTGGGGCTGTGGATCATGAACCCAGCTCTGTGCAGCTCCATGGGATGCTGGAAGGAGCAGCGATGGTGGGGCAGGGACAGCATGGGACACTCCTGGATCTCACAGCTGCCACCCCAAAGGGCACCTCGGCGGTGACAGACACAGGYTTGTGGGCACACAGGCATCTCCAGCTGCGCTGCACCCTCCCTGGGCCCAGCTCTCTGACAGGTACAGCTTTATGAGCTTTGTTTTCGGTTTTATTCCATTTCTTCCCAAACCTTTTATTTACACGTAACTCTTGATTAGCCTGCAAAGAGCATTCAATCACTGGGCTCGGTCCCAAACACCTCCCAACCCTCCTCCAGTCTTCAGTTCAAGCAGTGTCAGCCCAGATAATTTTATCTTTGCCTGCAAGACAATAAATTAGGCAGAAAATTATATATAGCTCATTGGAGAAAATTACAGCCCTGATCCTCGAGATCCCGATCTCAGTCCTCTGTTTGTTCTTCACTTTTACGACTTCTGTTATTTGCCCTCCTAATCGCCTCTCTAATGAGGCAGCCCCAGACTTCTCAATCTCATTTTGCCAGAGGTTTTTCTCCCCAGGGCCCTCATTGTTCTTCCTGCCATTAAGATTATCCATCGGTGCGGTTGGGCACCGATTTCAGTGCCGGCTCAGGGAGCTCCAACTCTGCTGCTGGTGCAGATGAGGATCTTCTCCCCGGGACTGCAAACCCTGGCTCTGTCATTTCTGTGGATTCACAGCTCCTGGAGGAGCCAACCCAGATGATGCTGAGGCACAGGGGATGCTCGGCCAGCGCTGGGTATCCCAGGAGAGCTGGGTTATCCCTGCCCAGAGAGAGATGCCTGCTGGATTAGGGCAAGGAGAACGGGTTTAAACTAAAGAAAGGTGGATTTAGATGGGATTTTGGGAAGKAATTGTTCCTGTGAGGGYGSKGAGRYCCTGGMACAGGGTGCCCAGAGAAGCTGTGGCTGYYCCTGSRTCYCTGGAAGTGWCCMAGGCCAGGCTGGACARGGCTTGGAGCAGCCTGGGACAGTGGAAAGTGYTGGGGTTGGAACTGGATGAGCTTTAAGGTCCCTTCCCACCCAAATCACCTGGGATTCCATGRTTCCATGATTCAYWTGGCAAYAAGATGTGACACATTTTCTCTTTTTTCCTGGGATGAGCATCACTCCAAAATCYTCTTTGACGAGAGCTGCAGGTGAGCCTGGGAGAAGTGGAATTTGTCTCCTCTTTGCAGATGCACAGGCTTGGATATTCTGCATTTCTGTCCAAGAGCCAGAGGCATCCCAGGAGCTCTGCCTGGCTCCCAAACCCCTGCAGCCAGCCTTGGCAGCAATGCTACTTCAATGTACAAGAAATAGATTTTTTTTTTTTCCCAAGGATAATTTGTAATTATATTTTACATCTTTATATATATATATATATATATTTAAGACGGTGCGTTAGTCATGCAAATATAATTATATATCTAACGTTCCTGTGTCATTTTTAATTAAAAACATGGTATTTAAAGCACATACAATTCAAAAAATCCAATATAGGCTTCTATTAAAAATGCAGTTTGTTAGAGCTAATAAAGTACCTGGATGGGTCAGGACAAACCCAGAGCCTGTTCGGTTGCCGTGGGAACAGCCGGCATCAAAGCCGAGTGCAGCCGCGGCAACCTGCGGCATCCGGAACAGCGGGGAAAAATGAGATTAGGGGGCAAAACCACCCCAAATCCGAGCGGCGATGTGCCGGCTGCGGCGGGTCCGTGCCAGATCCCCATTTCCTGGGGTTGGAGGAGCTGTCCGGAGGGGCCGAGTGGGGATTTCAGTGCCGGACCCCCACGGGAATTCGATGTGGGGCAGCCCGGGTGGGATTCGGGCACAGGAACGATCCCGTTCCCCCAGGCGGGCGGGGCCCAGCCATCCAATTCACATATGCAAACACTTTTCTGGCTCGTTAATTGCCTCCAAAGTGGAAGATTTCTCCTAATCTCCCACTAACAGCTGCACATCCCTCTCCATTTCAAGCCGCCGCGGCTGAGGGTTTGCGGCTGGCGGCAGGGACGGAGTGGGAGCAGCGGTAATTTTTTAATTAAGCAGCTTTGCCTGMGCTCCCCTCGGGTGGCGGGGAGACACCAGGGAGGATTTTGCTCGTTGTTCTGCTGATTTTCTGCTGATTTCCTGCAGACCACCCTGCCCACCCCTCTGTCCCTCTCCCAACTCGGTGGGTCCCTCAGGATCAGCCCGGCCCGGTGCTGCGGGGTGAAAACTCCCTGGAGAACCTCTGCAGCAGCTCCGGGCACGGCTCCCACCCTCGGGAGATGATTTAACGCGGTTTTCCCTGGACGGGATGGTTACAGAAAGCAGGAGCACCTTCCTGCCTGTTGCTCAAGCCTCATGAGCCTCGAATTGCCGCACTCGGAGCGCTCCGCAGGGCTCCTCACCGAACTGCTCCCTCCAGGGGATGCCCCACCTGCTCCCGGCGTGCTGAGGGAATTTTCCCGTCCTTTCTTGGTCCTATCCCCCCCACCACCAAAAATCGGACGGATTAAAACCAGGACATCAGGCCAGCAGGATCCCCCACCGGAGCATCCCACGGATGTGGAGGGTTCTCCTCACTGGGACCGCTCAGGGGGCACCCTGGGACTGCAGACCCTGCTGTGTTGGGTTCTCCAGACAAAAKGGATTGTTCTGGAGAGGATCAGGACCTTTCCAAGCTCATCCCTCCAGGAAAACGCCACCCACGAGGGCTTT